GCTTGAAAGCAATACAGAGAATAATCTTGATCTAAAAAAAAATCACTAAACCAACTGATTAGCACATACGTTATTCTCTATTGTTGAATTACTTACATCATTATTAGAATTATGTTTGGCTACCATTTTTGCATCATCGAGAGCATATTGCAACTGTTTACATTGTTCTTTAAGAGTTGATATTTCTGCATTAGCCTCTTGAAGTTTGGAAATTTCTGCATTGTGACCAGATTCTACTGTTTGTAACTTGGATTCTAAGACTTTAATAAGATCTCGTTGTCGAACTTCTGAACCTTTGACTTGTTCCAATTCATAATTAATTTTTTGGATAGTTTCTTGTAATTGATCTAAAGTTTCTTGTTTTCCTTTCAGAGTAACTTCTAACTTTTGGATCAAATCTGACTGAGTAATTTCAATATGCTTCTTTTCTTCCAATTCGGCAGTCATCAGAGCAATTGAATCAATACTTGTGGCTGCATCAGTTGAACTTTTACTCTTAATATTAGCTAATTTTGATTCTAATTCTTTTACAAGTTGAGCTTGTTTGTCCGCAAAAGCTTTGGTAGCAGCCATCTCATCTAATGAAGGAATTGTTTGTAATTTAGTCTCTAATTTAGAAAGTGTGCTTTGAAGATTTTTAGCATTTTCTGCTTCGATAGTTGCTTGTAATTTAGCAGTTTCCAAATCTACTTTTGACTTTTGAATTTGTGATTCCAATTGTATTATATGTTCATCTTTTATTGAAAGCATTTGTTCTTTAGCTTTTAGGTCACAATCAGCTTGTTTTAGTTTTACTTCAAGTTGAACGGCAATTTGAGTGCGTTTCTCTTCTGTTACTTTTGCTTCGCTAAGTAAAGAGCCAACAGTTGCAAATTCATTTCCAAGGTTAGCAATGGTCGTTTGATCTTTCTGAAAAGAATTCTTGGATTCAACCAATTCCGTTTGTAAATTAGTTATTGAACATTGTAATTCTGTGATTTCATTTTTATATTCAATTTCTTTTGATTCGAATATTTTTGATTGTTCTTTAACATATTTAACATGATTATCACGTTCTTTTTCAACTTCCAATAACTTTATTTTAAGATTTGCTATGAGATCATTTTGAACATCCATTTCGATTTTAGCAGTCGCGAGTTCTTCTTTAAGAGATCTTAGATTATTGTTACCGTTTATATCAATATCCTTTACTTCTTGAAGTTCCACCTCTAATTCTTTTATCCGTTTTAGTTCTTTATCTCGTCTTTGTAACGTATCAGTTAACAAATTTTTCAATTCGACAATTTCTTTTGAGCAAGTAACATTTTTTTCATTTACTCGTAATAATTCTTCTTTAACGGTCTTTAATTCATTTTCTAGGGAAATAATTTGTTCACTTTTTGCATCACGTTCTTTTTTCAAAGTTTCTAATTCTAAAATTAAAGTGTCTTTAGATTTTATTGTATCATTTAATTGAGATTGTAATTGTTCAATTGTAGAATTTTGTTCAGATTCAAATTCTTTCAAATATTTAATTTCATTTCTCAAAATTCGTAAATCTTTACTTTCTTTTTGTAAAATTTCAAGTTTACTTTCTAATTCTTTAACCGTATTTAAAAGATTAGATTTAGAATCTTTTAATTCCAAGATTTCTCTTTTTAGACCATCTGTATCGGAATCTTGTTTAATAAGTTGTAATCGATTTTCTAATGTATCAATTTTTCTACGTTGTATAATATCTTGAGATCGTAAATTCTCAATTTCATTATTTAATATCTTGATCTGTTGTAATTCAATATTAGAATCAGCTGATGATAACATCTTATTTAATTGAAGTTCGTGAGATTGAATAAGATCTTTTTGTCCAAATTTTCTAGATTTTAGAATATCAATTTTAGCTCGTAAAGTGGAATATTCAAGTTCTGATTTTTCTAATTTAGATTCAAGATCAATGATTGTTCGTTTATGTAAAGATTCAGATTCCTTTAACATAATCAATTCATTTCTTAATTTTATTATATCATCATCAACAAACGTGTTTTTAGATGATAATTGATTTTCTAATAAATCTATTCTTTCTCTTTGAGCAATTTCAATAGTTCTTAAACGTTTTAAATCTTTATTAAGTTTTGTTTCTTTATCACTCAAAATTTTAATTTGTTCCAATGCAGTAATTTCATTATTTTTAACGGTTTGAAGTTCTTTTCTAACATTTTCAATTTCTGAAATTAATAATTGATCATCAATTCCAATACTTTCAACTTTTTTCAATTTTATTTGAAGATTTTTCATTTGATTTTGAGTTTCTTCTTGACGAATTTGAACTTCTGAAAGTTGTGATTTTAATGTTATTGCTTCAGCTTCTTTTTCACGAAGTTTTTGTTGTAAAATATTTTTATCTATAAAATCTCGATTTAAAATTTCTATAAGTTCATATTTTTGTTTAAGATCAGATTTTAATGTTTCAAGTTGTGTTCTTAATGATATAACTAAATCTTTTTCACTTTGTAAATTTTGAATTGTATCAGATTTATTAATCAATTCTTCTTGTAAAGCGATTAATTTTTCTTCAAGTATTTCAATAGATTTTTGTGTAGGATCAATAATATTTAAAGAATCACGAGTTGAAATAATTTCTTTGGCCTTGATTAATTGTGTTTCAAGATCTTTAGCTTTTTCTTCGAGTAATTTTACATTTTCATCAAAAGTTTCTTTTAAAGGTATTATTGAAATTGTTAAATTATTGTTTCTATGATCTCCAAAAGATTCGGAAATTCCTCCAGAAACTTTGGATAATTTATCATTGTTCTTTTCTAAAGCATGACAAAGTGCTTGTCTTACTTCAGTTAATTGTTCTTCGAGTTCTTTAATCTTATTTTGATTTTTATAATTTGGAAGTAATAAAGCAGCTATAGCATGATTCTTTGCTTCAATTTCAATTTGTAATTTATCAACTTGTTTACGAAGAGTTATCATTTCAGTAGCGACTTCTTTAGAAATTGAATTAATATCATTATCTAATTGAGATCTTAATTGTTTAGTTTTGAAAAGTTGATCTTCCAAATCTTTTATACAGATTTGTAAATTTTCAATACTTTTATCGAATTCTATATCATTATTATTAGAATCTTGATTTTTCTTTTCAAGAGTATCTTGTAATTTATCACGAAATTCTTGTAAATTTAATTCAATTTTTATTACCTCATAATCATTAATTTGATAATCTTTTTCACGTTCAGCTACAAGATTCAAAGTTTTTCTTTGTTCTTCTTTAAGATTTTTAACTTCTTCACGAAGTCTATGTACAACTTCAAGTTCATCAAAATCATTTATAAAAGTAGAATGATCTTTTGAATCAGATTTTATCATTGACATTACTTCAATTTGTGCTAAAGTATCACGTCTTTTTATCTCATCACGAAGTTCTTCTACAATCTCTAAATTTGCTCTATGACTCATTTCCAAACGTGCAAATTCTTGTCTAACAGTATCTAATCCAGATTTTTTATCTTCATTTAAAGATTCTAATTGTCTAAGTTCCATTTGTAATCTTTGTACAGTAGCAAGATGTATAAGATCATGTTTTTCACCACTTCCCATTGAAAAAGATCTAGGTTTACGAGGAAAATCTTTTTCAGAAATATTATTATTATTATTAAATGAATTAAAATTATCTTTATTTAATTCATCAAAACGCATAGATGGTGGTAAAGATTGTCTTGAAGTTATAGGAGATCCCATTCCCATTACGCTAGATGGTGACATTGGAGTTATAGGAGTTGAAGAAATTGATTTAAAATCATCCATCATTTCGGCATCAATTAATCTTACTTCATTAAGTTGATTTTGTAAATCTTGTATTTCTTCAAGACATGTTTGATATTTTTCTTTAATTTGAGTAAATTCTAAAATAGTTTTTTCATGAGTTTTTTGTAATTCGAATAATTTAATTTCAAGACTTGAAATTATTAAACGATCTTGTTC